TTTATTTATTTATTTGACAGAGAGAGACACAGCGAGAGAGGGAACACAAGCAGGGGGAGTGGGAGAGGGAGAAGCAGGCTCCCCGCGGAGCAGGGAGCCCGATGCGGGGCTCGATCCCAGGACCCTGGGATCATGACCTGAGCCGAAGGCGGACGCTTAACGACGGAGCCACCCAGGCACCTCCCTCTTAAATTCTTAAATAAGTTTTCTTACCACTTCCTCTAACTATACAGCCTTGTGTGCAGGTGGTGTGTGTCCAAAGATACAACAGGCAACTGTTTTACCAAATTTTTTACAATTGCATCACAATGGTCACCATCTTCCCTGCCTGCAACCATGTGGTCCTCAGTGCCCTCCACCTCACCTCCTCTATTCAGCCAACTCTACATTCAGCTCTATACTCTGAGCACCCCACTTCTGCTGTTATATTCTGCATTAATCAGGGTTCTTATATGAAAGCAATGGAAAGTGGCTCTTGCTTAAAAAAGCAGAAAAGTAACTTAGCAAAAGGATATTTAGTAAATCATTAAGTCACTGGGGGCATTGGAGAACTGGACTCAAGCTATGAGGCCAGAAACAATGAATGAGATCATACCACAGAGCCGCTTCTGATAACCTGCTGCTGCCATCACTAAGCACTAGGGTCCCAGGTGGTCGGCAGCAGAGACTGGACACTGGCACTAACATTCTTGCTACTGTTGTGCCAAGAAACTTGGTCTTGCTGCAATCCCCATCATCAGAGCAAGGATTCTCTGCTGCTCTTATTCTTTAGGTCACTAATGCCAGACCTAAACGGGGGCCTCTGATTCGCTGAGCCTAGGTCATGTGTCACATCATAGCGGCAAATAATACTGGGACATGTGGCATTTTCATCTTCTACAGCGGGAGGTGGTCTCTGCCTCCTCCACCAAGAGTCGAGAGGCAAGGAATTCCCTAAATATGGCAAGGGGTTCAGAGGCTGGGCTATACTCCAAGATGAAAAATATTCACTTCACAATTATAACTTCAGCCACCACCTGGAACATAGTAGGCAGTTAATAAATATCCGTTGGTGGAGTGATTGAAAAGCATCCAAGACTAAAAGTGACTAACATTAGCCTACAGAAGATGATCAGGTGAGTGAAAAGGGACTTGAATAGTATCCTCACAAGTACAGGATACAAAATGGGAGTCATATCAGAGATCCGGGTATGGCTCTGTGTGGAGGTAGAGAGCTCATGGTTGGACAAGGCAACTGTGACTTGAAGATCTAGGGTATCAGTGTAGAGATTAAATGGACCATTTGTGTGCAACATAGTGGTGTGTAGAGCTGGAAACTCATGTATCATCACCCCAAGTCACACAGGCTGGTTCTTGACACTTTCACCTTTGAACAAGAGTCAGAATTAGTAAGTGGTACATGGGATTGAGGGTGTCATGTCATATGTGGGGCCAACTCACAAACCCTTGGGGCCCACTGTGGCTACATCTAAGAAACTTTCAAGAACTCCAGTGATGGGTAGCTGAGGCAGGTTGAGGACATTAGCTCTGTACTGAGTGCTGGCTTCTTCTCCTGGTCAGGAAGTAGTGGTGCCAACCAGTCTAGAACAGTAGCCCAACTCCTCCAGTGCACGGTAGTTATTAGAACAGGCATGAAAAAGAGGGCTGAGGCTCCCAAAAATTGAACATTGCTGATTGATCTGGGACCGCCCACCTCTGGGACAGCTATCCTTTGAGGATGACTTGGCTGAACAGAAAGC